CATCCTACATCATTGCTTCTCCACAGGAACTTGAACACAGACATGTTCATGAGTTTTGGTCCAGCCTAGTGAAAAATACTTGTCACAGTTACTTGAGTTGTCTTTGAATAAATATATGTAGAAGTGATATAAGTCTTATACACAGAAGGCATATAAAATGATTTCAGGTAAATTCTTGGGACAAAAAAAAGCAATCCAGCAGAGTAAAACGTGTATGTGTTACTCTGTTGGGTAAGAGTCCTCAAACATCTAACATGGCTATCTCATTTGGTCCTGTACAAATGAATGCATAATTTTTATATTCAAGTTGCTAGAATTCAGAATTTCCAGACGAAGTTTAGGGTATAGGTATATTGTCTGGAGGACCTTCTATTTTAACTAGAAATATATTTAAAAGTTACTAATTTCTTATTAGTAACATTAGAATGCATTAGATGATCTCTAATTCAAGAAGAGGTGTAGTTCATATTTAAAAGTACATAATTACTTCTACATACAAATAAGAACTATTTCAAAGTACATAATTTGGGAGGACAATTTTACCATGCATGCTTAAAATTACAAACACTATTTGCAAATAGTAAATATAGTAAAAGTTCTTAGGAAGTCTGTTCTCTATCTCAATAGACTTTAGTACCTTTTTCTATATAGAGGTAAACTTCAACCCCAGATGGATGGAAATAAATTTGTAGGTTCTAAATGAATTGCATTTCTGTTTTTTCAACATAGATTGCCTTTAGTCAGTCTTATTCCATGATCCCTCATTCCATTATTTACTTTTAAACTATCTACTGTTTTCCTTTATAGCCATATTTCAATACTAAAAATAAGAGCTTATGGCTCTGGTTTTCTTCCTGGTGAATGGTAAATAAACTTTCCTTTTATTGCTACCCCCAAATTTTCTTTACTAAATATATTTAAGACATAGATTCACAGAATTTCTAGTGACTTCCAAACAAGTGCACAGGTAATAGTGCCCCCCCCCCTTTCTTTCTGTTTTTGTTAATCCTCACTAGAGGATATTTTTCCATTGAATTTCAGAGGGTGGAAGGGAAGGGGAGAGACAGAGAGAGAAACATGTGAGGGAGGTACATCCATTGGTTGCCTTCTGCACACATCCCCGTGCACCCCCGCCATCCCCCCCAATTGAGCCTACAACCGAGGCACGTATCCCTGGCTGAAATCGAACCCAGGATGCTTCAGTCTGCAGGCGGATGCTCTATCCACTAAGCCAAAACGGCTAGGGAAGTTGTTTTTCCTTTTTCAAAATAAATCATCTTTAAGCTGCTTTTAAGATTTTTACTAGTAATTTAAAAAATCCTATTACTATTTTTACTTAACAGTGGTTTTTCTCTATGACCTACCCATTGATAAGGTAACTATTCAATAATTTAAAAATAATCTACTACTTTATTGAGCAAACAATAAGTAACTTTTTAGATCCTGGGCCTCAACATTCCTTTGCTATTCAAATCAAAATGCAGTAGTCGTCTCACATTTGTTACCATGAATTTCAAAAGAATAATCTACATTCTAAAAAACTTTTTATACAGAAGGACAAAGAGAACATAACTAAGCTGGAGTCTTTCCATATCATTGTCTTCTGGGGTCCAGGCAGCAGAACCATGATGTAGGTGAAAAAGTAGTATGGCCAGGCTCCAGTGTATGTGACTCAAACAGAAGAACAAAAAGTTGAACTGTGAATACATCAGCTTAATTCACGAAAAGGATGCTACCTATAGGGTCTCCATTTTTAGAGACCAAACAAGGGCAAATGAGCTAAAATAGCAGGATCAATGTGGGTGATTTATAAAACAATACTTTCTAACAATAGGTATCCAGAGGTTAAGGATATGCATTGCTCATACCTCCTAGAGAATAAGATAGGCTGCTCATTTGTTTGGGATGGCTCTTGATGGGAAATATTCTGGAAGACAGGATGGTATCTTTCTGAACTTGAAGTCCATCTTTCTCCATAGGGGCTCAAACCTTGGAATTGTAGCTCATTTATTACTCGCAGTGCGAATCAAATCCAGTTCCAGACTCTCCACCTTCACCTAACTCCCACTGTAGAATCATCTCAGCAGGAACTCATCCTGCTCCAAATCAAAATGTAGCCATGCCCTGGCAGGTTTGCTCAGTGGATAGCGCGTCAGCCTGCAGACTGAAGGGTCCCCGAGTTCAATTCCAGTCAAGGGCAGCTCCGGGTCCTGGTGGGTGGCATGCGGGAGGCAACAAATCGATGTGTCTCTCTCACATCAGTGTTTCTGTCTGTTACTCCCCCGTCCCTTCCACTCTCTCTAAAATATCAATGGAAAAAATATCCTCGGGTAAGGATTAAAAAACAACAACAAATGTAGCCAAGACTTCTTGATGGGGGCTTCTTTTCTTACTCTATCTTCTGATGTCTGATGTGCGATATGCAGGGCCATTCAGAGCAATGACTTACGACTATAACATGCAATTGAATGTAATTCAAGAAACTCTGTAAAATAAGGGATATAAGAGCAGGGCTTTTTGTTTTTATGTTGGTCAAGTACTGTGGGGCAAATGGCTGAGTGTTAGCTGAGCTATATTTCTATTTCCTTTTGATAATAAAAAATCAAAATCATTAAAATTTCCTTTAAAATAAGCTACAAATATATCTATTTGTAAAAATGAGAGGAATCTTTTCTTCCAGAGTATGTTGGAAAGATGGGATGTTAAGTATTCAATTGGTTATATATATGTTTTAGACAATACAATATCTAATGATTGACATCTGGCAAAGCCTTATTTCAGTTTTCTAACACCAATACAAAAGCTGTTATACAAATGTATAAGGGTAAGGTGATTTTTAAAAATAACTGTTAAATTTAGCCCTAGCCGGTTTGGCTCAGTGGATAGAGCAACGGCCTGCAGACTGAAGGGTCCCAGGTTTGATTCTGGTCAAGGGCACAGTTGCAGGCTCAATCTCCAGTAGAAGCCTGCAGAATAGCAGCCAATCAATGATTCTCTCTCATCATTGATATTTCTCCCTCTCTATCCCTCGAAATCAATAAAATATTTTAAAAAATAACTGTTAAATTTAATATTTTCACTTAGTGATAAAGCCATTTTTTTTCAATCCTAATTTTAATTTGTATCTGTCCACTTTCTTTAATGGGGGTTTGAGCTTCCACACCATTCTCTTTAGTTTTTGTACGGTAAAGTGACTATTTTCTTCTTTTTAGCAGAGCTGGATGAGGAACATCGCTGCATTTGATTGGTTGGCTTGTAAGGGATTACTCCTCTGGAAAGGCACTGTCCCATATCACATTGCTATAAATGTGGACTTAATTGGGGTTAAATATTTAAATTGAAGCATTTAGCATCAGAGAACATAAGCTTCAGGACTCCTATGTTACTTAGATTTTACACAACATAATGACTTAATGTGCTTCTGATGAAGAGCTCTGCTTTGAAGCAACCTTAAATACCATACCCAGGAAGAACTGACTCTGGCACACAGGTAATTTGGGGTCCCAGTACATTTTATAACGAAGCTAGTACAATTTGAAAAAGAATAAATTCAAAATATACAAATTGACTTCAATAAGATTAACAACACTGAGGAAGACATGTCAGCTAAGTCAAGTCAAATAAACCATACTATTTATTCCCATATAAAACAATGACTTTCAATTTTGTATTCCTCATTTCCAAGCTACTCAAAGAACATGATCACTTTTCAAATTTCGTTATTTTATCTGAAAGAATTTACTGAGCAAATGCTTAGTTGCAGGATTTTACTTTTGTAACCCATCAGGTTACAATATTAGTGACTACGAGTTTCTTCCCCAGTGCAGGCATTCTGTATGTGTTTTATTTACATTCTGTCACTTTTTATTTCCTCCTAAACTTTATATGCCCAAGAATGAAACTGTATTGGTGTTACGTAACAACATTTCAAATTTGCAACATACATACTGACTTATCTGTCCCTTGAACCCACTTCCCTGAAAAAGAAACACATGAATCCAAACAGAAAAAAAAACTACCTTACAGTGTATAGTGAGAGTCTAGGCGTGTAGAAATAAAAGCATTTAAAAACAGTTGTATGGAAGGGTCAAGAATAGATGTATCTTTCCTTGTTGGTAACAACCACAGGCAGCCAAGACCTTAGGCCTGCACACAGAAGTTGGTAACCCAGCGGGAATTAAGGCTTTAAGGTCTCTTACAACTGTTGTGATTCGAAAAACCCAAAGCAAACAAGCGCAAAGGCCTGATAAAGTGCTCCAAACAGAGCCTCTTTGGCAACCCAGGTTGAACCATATGACTCAGGTGGACGATTAGACCAAACTGTGCGCCGTTTTCTTTCATTGGGTCTATAAAGCCCATAAATTATGTTTGGTCCAGAAAAGCAGAAGTTATCAGCACCTTCCTTCCCCACTTCTTAATATCCCATACATACACAATTCTTAAGCCACGGTCTTCATTCATTGACTAAACAAGATCCTGGGTGCCTTTTTGGTGACCACTCCTCCCAAGCTGACCTGACATGACAGCGGTTTGAAAGGCCCCTCCGTGGAAAGGGTAGAGACCACGAGGTTCGTCATCCAAAGGTGGACGCGACTTGCTTTTATTTACTTATTTATTCGAGGGGCGGCGATGGCCGCGGCTGGACTAGGACGAGGGTGGAGGAGAAGGGGCGCGCGGGCTGTGAGCCGGGGATGGGAGCCCTCGGAGAAGGGGGGCAGCAGCCAAGTTCCACCAGCTCCGCCCGCCGGACCCAAAAAATGACCAGCCCCCCCAGCCCCCACACACACACCCTCACTGCACCCATGATCCCTCCCCCTCTTCCCAGGCCTTTTATCCTCCCGCCTGCCCAGCAGCCCGCGACTCCCAAACCTCGCGCCAACCGCCTCCTTCCGCAACC